TAATGTAATTCATAAACATATAATATGCATTTCCTAACATAGTGTTTGTAGTCAGTGCTTGTGGCTTACATTAATTTTCTTTAATATATGTTTAAATATATATATATAATAGCTCAACTGTAGTTATATCTGAACATATATCATATTTACACGGATATGTATAGTGTATTTGCATTTTTAATATTTGCCCTGTAAATTAGAGAAGTGCTTGAAAGCCATATTATTGATCCAGGACTGACAGAGAGTCTTTTTTCTGCTGTTCTGGTAATCAGGGCTGTGTTTCGACATCATCTGTGCCTCATATATCCAACATTTTTTTTTAAAAAAAAAGTCTCTTACCTTACCTTAGAAAATCATGCTATTCCATTCCCAAAACCATTGCAACCAAGTGTAAGTATTAGTTCTCACCTAATTAGCTTTAAAAAGATGATGCCACAAGCAGAAATCTAGCATCATGGCTTGAAATTTCATTGGAGTAACTGAATGATAAAGGCAATAGCACCTGTAATGGATAGCCCAGAATCCACATCACATTTACCTAGGCTTACGCATGGCTCAGTGGCTAAGACGTTGACTTGTTGATCAGAAAGGTTGGCAGTTCGAATCCCTAGCACCGCGTCACGGAGTGAGCTCCTGTTACTTGTCTCAGCTTCTGCCAACCTAGCAGTTTGAAGGCATGTAAAAATGCAAGTAGAAAAATAGAGACCACCTTGGTGGGAAAGTAACAGCGTTACATGCACCTTCGGCTTTTAGTCATGCCGGCCACATGCCCACAGAGACGTCTTTGGACAGCGCTGGCTATTCGGCTTTGTAACGGAGATGAGCGCTAAGAGCCAGAAACGACTAGCACGTATATGTGAGGAGAACCTTTCCCTTTCTCTTATTGTTAAGCAAACATTACAAGAAGTAACACAACCCTATGTTCTTTCCTCTGAGATATCGTAACCTAAGTTAATGTGAAGAGGGCTCGCCAGACTGCTGCCTTTCCCACTTGTTGGAAACCAGAGTACAAGGTCATAAGCAAACTAAAATCAAATGATGACTTTGCCCTCTGTTGTTTTCCAGACAAATAAAACCACAGTCCAGTGTTTGGTTGTTATTCTACTTTAGGATAACCACAGATGCTCATTAGTCTGTTTGTGGGAGAAACCAGTTGTCACAAGCAAGCATATTCACTGCCTCATCATCAACCTACTTGTGTGATATTTGAACATGCTGAGGCATTTTATTTAAATAAATAGGATTGATCTCTTGCCTGCTTATATTTTCAGGACACAGTGATGTTGTAATGGGATTGGTTTCACTAAATAATGATGAACTTCATGAGAAACTCAGATTCTTGCAATATTGTGAGTATGAAGAGCAAACTCAAAAGTATGGCTTGCAGATTTTGTAAAGTAACTATGCTTGACATCTATTTAGCTTTTTAAAAAAATCTTTAGCAAAATGTATTCATTACCTGTTTAAACAACTCATCCTCAGTACAGAAAAGACACCTATTATTTGGTGTTTTGTTTTTGTTTTTGTATTTTTAATGCTTTATAGTTTTGAACACTTTGGTGCTTTTTCTTTTTTGGAAAAAGAAAACAATTGTAAAGAAAATCTAAATTAAAGTTAATTTAAAAAATAAGTACTACAGTGAGTAAAAAAAAAGTTCCTCCTGTCAAAATAGATGTGACTTTGCAAACATGTACCTGAGATTTCCTATCAATGTTATGTTGTATTTAAAAGCAGTTTTCAGAACATTCCCTTAAAAAATATATATGGGCTAGTAGCGCAAATTGTATGTGTCTTAATCTTCCATCTCCGTATTTTCTTAAGTCAAAATTATTTTCTATCTTCTTTGAGTCTACTGTTAGATTCATCCCCCTCAGCAGAACACAAATTCACAGATTGCTGCATCTGCTTTGGGCAGACATTATTATTTATTTGTTAAATTTATTTGCCGCCTATCTCACTGTGGGGCTACTCCACGCAGCTAGACATATTATGGCCCAAAAGCCAGTTTGGTCTAGTAGTTAAGGCACCAGACTTAACCAGGAGACTGTGAGCTGTAGTCCTGCTTTAGCCATAAAAGCCAGCTGGGTGACCTTGTTTCAGTCACTTTTTCTCAACATAACTCACCTCACAGGGTTGTTGTGGGGAAAATAGGAAGAAGGTGTGTTGAATATGTTTGCCGCTTTGCATTATTTGTAAAAATAATAAAAGTGGGATACAAATCAATAAATGAAAAATAGCTCCTCTTTCCCAGATTAGATAGCATCCAAAGCAAGTGTGGATATTCGGTCACTTGTGACAGCCAATCCCTATGGAAATAAAAATATAATTATAACACATTAAATAACTAATATTTTAACATGTCAGCTACAACTGCCTAATTATAGTTCTGTCTTCTATGATGTGTTTTTAGACCAAGCAGGGTGTATGTGAAGCATAGAATAAATACTGGTAAAGCCATAAGTCTGATTCAGTTCTGACTCAATCCTAGAATTGCTAAAGCCACAAGGTCACTAGAACATGCATTTTTGAATCAGAGTTCTTACTGTATTTTAATAAGAGCTCTGATTCAAAATGCATGTTCTAAATTTTGAATTCATGCTTTGGGTAATTGTTAAGTAGAAAAGCAGATTAACTATTTGGAAGACCTCAATGTGGTTTGTACTGAATGTATAAATATATATTGACAAATCATCAAAATAGCATTTGTTCAGTTCCATAAAATGTTTACTGCAAGGAATATGGATTAGGACCAACTGTGGGTCACAAAGAATATGGGAGGGTCACAATATTTTTTAATCCTTGTGCAGTGGAAGCAATGTCAAACCACAACTTGGATTTTGCTAGTTACTTTGCCTGCACCACCTAGCAGTGGGTGATTGTTGTGTTGCAAAGTCCCAGGAGCTTTGTGATATACTTATTCAAACTTGAATATTAAAAAAAAAAGATATATGTATATCTAGCCCAGCGCTGACATCAATGAAATCATGAGTGGATCAAACTCATTTATCACTTTATTGTCCAACATTTTATGTTATTTTAACTCAGGAAATACCTCGGTTCTGACCATTGGCATACTTTTTGAAACAAAAAATGATTAAAAAATGTAATACACTGGAAACAGAATAATATCTGGTTTTTTTTCTTTTATAGCCATTGGAGCAATTCCATCTCCTTTTGATTGCTATCTTTGCAACCGAGGTTTAAAGACTCTGCCAATCCGCATGAAACAGCATTTTCACAACGCGTTGACTGTGGCCCAATACCTTGAGTCAGATCCAAGGGTTGAAAAAGTCATCTTCCCTGGTATGTTGCCCTCAGATAACCTGGAAGTCTTCCTAGAAGGATTTTTGTATTCCTTACCGGGCAAGACCTGATGAGTTACCCAACTAAAACTCCAATCTTTTACAATCATTGTAAGCCACCTGAACTTGGTTTCTCCCATCTCCACTTTAAAATCATATCATCTCCTGCTGCATATCATCTTGATTTGATAAGTCATTGATTCCATTTTTAAATTAGACACATTCCCAAAGGACTCTAGTGTTACTAAGCAAAAGTCATTATGGAACAATGCCCCCTTTTCAATAGATTTCCTCTGAAGGGGAAAAGGAGGAAGGAGTATTAGAGAAAGATGGAGGGATTGCATATAGATGATGTCATAATCTGCTAGATGCCCCCGTATAGTGCTGTTGGTAAGATCGGGAATTAAACAAGAAAAGCCTCATCTGGAAACATCTGCATATGTCAGCTATTGAATGTGTTTGTCTGAATTAAAGTAATAATACAGGCTGGGTTATTTGAATAATGTATGATTCATTGCAGGATTACAGTCACACCCACAATATGATCTGACGCAACGCCAGTGCACAGGCTGCCCAGGAATAATTTCCTTTTACATCAAAGGAAACCTTGAAAATGCTTCTCAATTCCTTAAAAACTTAAAGGTAAAACTTACCCTTGTAGACTGCTTTTAAAAGAGCCACGCCACTGTTTTGTGACTTTGTCAGGAATTGTGTACTGTACTGTGGTCCTTTCTTCCCCACTGAAGCCATTATGGATTTTGAGCATTTGTAGGAGCTCCCAAAATGTAAATAGCCCATGTTAGTTATAGGAAATGGCACTAATGAAAGGGAATGGAATGAGTGTATCCAAATGAATGGAAGTCGGGCAATGTGAGCCATGTAATAACACCCCTGAAGCCTCTCTGCCATCTTCATCCACAATTGTAAATGCAGCCTAGAAAGCAAAACAGCTTCGGCTGATGTAACAGTGTCGCACTGGTTTTGAAATCTGAAGGCACCAAGCTAGAAAGTGGAAGACTGCAAATTCAAGTCCCACTTTAGCCATGAAAGCCAGCTAGGTGACTTTGGGCCAGTCACTCTCTCTCAGCCCAACCCACCTTGCAAGATTGTTGTTATATGGAAAATAGGTTGAGGATCGTGTATCGGACACAGTATGTTTACTACCTTGGGTTATTTGTACAAAATATTATGAAGGCAGAATTCAAATAAATTATACATTTGACTTCAGGAGTCAATTTATTGATTTATCAACATATATCATTGGAAAAGCATTGACTTTTAAATATAGCTGTCCAGTCAAGTCTCTTGTTGGATATCTATAGCTGGCATTATTTATCTTGATTTGTAGCCATTGGCTGTGGCCAAATATGATTTTGTCAGTACCTGCATCCAGATTAATGTGCATTTAATTAAATGTTCTGTTTGGTACCAATATTTGAGAATATTACAAAACCATCCCAAGCATAAAGAGCATGGAGGACGTGAATTCTAATTGGGATTGGAGCTGGTAAGAATTATGTTAATAATTAGAGTTTTGAGATTAAAGCATCATTTTATGAGTAGTAAAATGTTTCCTAGTCTTGCTGACTTCCAGGTGTGCAGACTTCAATTCCCAAAATTTCCCAATTAGTATCACTCACAATGCCACCATCATTATCCAGAATGATTCCAGAATCATTATCCAGAATGATTCAATACAATAAAAATAGAGATATAACAAAAAATATAAACATGATCTACAGAGCACTATTAGTTGACACCACTGAAATTTGTCAATGAAAATAACTGATTTTCTGCTAGACTAATGTTTTATTAAATGGAGAGTCCAATGTTCAATCATTACATGGCTTGATGAAACCATTTTGTCGTTTAACCCTTCTCCTTCAAACATTGAGCCTTTTCAGTCTTACCCACCTTGTACTGTACTATTAGTTTAACTCACGAGTGGGCAACTATGGACCCTTTACGATTTGTGGACTTCAGCTCCTACAGCCTGTGGACTTCAGTTACTAACCATGTTGGCTCAGGAATTCTGGGAGTTGAAGTCCACAAGTTATAAAGTTGCCAGAGTTGTCCACTCCTCCTGGAGCCAAAATACCAGTCTTAAAAGAGCAAGTCCTACTTCTGCTCAATTCTTAGTCTCAGATCAAAGTGTTTTTATTGCCAATGCATGAATAAAAGTCAACTAACTGTTGAATCTTACTTTCTCACACCAATTTGAGATAGTAACCTAACTTAGGAAGTAGAGAGCAGGCCTTTCTTTGCTTTCATGCCTGAGGTAATACATCATACAAACAATCCAACTTTCTGTCTGAAGGCCATGCCAGCCTTGGTGGCTACTGAAACTCTGTTAAGTAGCAGGATCTTACTGTTCTGCTGTGTAGGCTTTGACAAGTTTACAGTGAAAAGGAATTTCTCTGTGGAGGATCCCTGAAAATACCTGAGATCACCCTATATTCTTGAAAATAACAGTACTAGCTGGAATCATAATATGTGGGACACTTCTGACACTTTTAAAAAAAAAGTGTGAGGGGAGAAAGGGCCAGAATATCAGAGAGTGTTTTTGTGCTACCATTGTTTCTACACATTTGCCTGAGAGGCCAATATTGCCATAGCAGAACAGGCAAGATTTGCAAACAGTTTGCAAACAGCATTTGCAAACTGATGAGGCCATGAGGCAGGTTGCTACATGCAATGAAAGAACATCTTTTGCATTTGATGGACTTGTCTTGAATTGTGTTAGATTCTTATGGGATTTTAATTAATTCTGAACATGGCTTGCCTCTTTTAAAAAGTTATATAAAGTTTTTTATATATTTCATATTTTATTTGTACCCTACCCAGAGTCCTGCTGGGAGATGTGTGGTTTTCAAAAACTGATAAAAAATAAAAGCATTTTTATATTGACTGGGATAAAAGTACGTTCTCTCTTATGTTTCATGGATTTCATTGTATTTGGTTTCATATTCCCAGAATTTATCCTCTGAAGTTAAAAGGCAATTTAGTATTTTTACTGATATCAGACTTCGGTTTTCAAGAGAAGATGGCCTGGAATCAAAGCAAATTTGTGCCTCTTGTTGTGATTAAGTGTGTTGCATTTCTTGCATCTCTCTTATTTTGCAAAAACATTTTCTTTTTCCCGCTCTGTCCGTTTGCTTTTACTAGGCTAACACACAGTTAAGTTTGCGTAAGAGTAAACTGCAAGCCTTAAATTTAAGTAATATTATTTGAAATACAGTATTTTTATATTTCTTGTTCTAGCTTTTCACCCTCGCTGAAAGTCTGGGAGGATATGAAAGTCTAGCAGAGCATCCGTAAGTAAATTTTTTTGGCATCCCTTAATAAAAGTATTACACTGATATTTATCAAAATATTTGATACTTTATTCACTGTGCGCTCCAACTAAACAATATGAGTTTTCTTATATAGCCTTCGCAAAATTTACTTGGAAACTGTATCTTCTTTCTTTTTCACTTTTATGAATATTCTTCTTCCATAAGTGTCATCTTTTCTGTGATAAAACACTGCCATTCTTCAAACATCTAAATCAGTGTTTCTGAACTCTAGCAACTTAGTTCTGTTGATTCACAATAGTTCCATTTTCTCATATGGCCCCTTGGGAAAATTAATTGCCCATCCCTGCTTTACATGCTTACTCAAATAATACAGTTGATTGAAAATAATGATGGTAGAAGAATTCATTCCTGCAACTTTGCTTAGGAGCCTCTGGTAATACAATGCCAGCCACAGCAATTTATGTAGAATCTCTTCTTGCACAATTTTAGTCAAACTTCCCCACATGGCAGTAGCCACTTACCTCCCTTCTGTTCTGGGAGTTGCAACTTCCTCCTGGCTTTCTCACTGACTCTGCTGGGAATTTGGTAGGAAGTTGCTTCACATAATGACTGTGGGACTAAAAATGTGAACCAGGGCTGCAGAGATTGTATCCTTTAGCAGTGGAAAATTCAGGCCCAATTACCTTCATAAGTTGAGAACTACCTAGATATAAATTCACCCATATCACCCAATTCACATTTTATTGCTATATGTGTTTCTGTTCTAAATGAGTACATTTGCTGTTTAGCATTTTTATTTGACATGTACTTATACTTAAACACAGTACAGCACAAGATCTAGTTTTACTTGTAAAATTAACAATAATTTTCTTTATTTATGAAATACATTTTAAAAATTGTAGTAGAAGCTATATTAAAAAGAGGTAAGCCCTTCTTAAAATGAAGAGCTTTATTCATATTCACTGCTATTTCTTTTACCCTAACTTTCTGAGGGGCGGATTTATGTCACAATATTTTATATTGATTTTCAGGGAAATGTAAGCTAATTTTTGATTACATTAATACCAGTAACCAATTCTCTATGCTGATAAATACTTCAGAGTATCTTGTTCTCTCTACTTGTCAGACTTACCTATCTCGGTGCCTTCCAAATGTGTCAGGCTATAACTTTCATTAGCCATAATGTTCATTATAGATAGTCCTTGCCTTATGATGACTATTGGGACTCAAGTTCTGTTTAAGTTAGTGATGTCATAAAGTGAGTCATCATGTGACCAGACTCAATTTTTATGTTCATTTTTACCATGGTTGTTAAACAAATCATCATAGCTGTTAAGCAAGGCATGTTGTTAAATGAATCTGGTTTCCACAATTGATGTTGCTTGTCGGAAACCTGAGAAGTTCACAAATTGTGATCTCATGAACATAGCATACAATGTCAGTGGAGGAGGCAGATTGGTGCAGTTTGCAATTATTATGGGGGAGCACTTTGTCAGTCTCTAATACTCATCACATATACTTTATATCCTTTTATATAATTTTAATAAGCTCTGCATCTAAAATAATGAGAGCCAGTTTGGTTTGGTACCAGGCTAGAAACCAAGTTCTAGTCCTGCCTTAGGCTCACAGCCAGCTAGATGATCTTAGTCCAATTACTCTTTTGCAGCCCTAGGAAGGAGACAGTGGCAAACCACTTCCAAAAACCCTCACAGAGAAAATTTTAAACTGGGATTTAAAATCATTCTATACATCATTATTTCTATTAGTATCCTCAAAATTAAAAACCTATTTAAATCCTCAAATTTAGCCTATTCACACATACCTTTACTTTCAAATGCAGCTTGCTAGTGTTAAGACTCTCCTAATAGAGGTTGTGTAAAAATGGTTTATTATTGGAAGAATAGCTCTCCTGTCTTCAATAGCCTATAGTGTTTATTTCAGACCATGTTGTTTGGCATTTTCCTTTCCCAATTTGCTGCATTCTAGGTGTTTAGGGAATAGCTAAAATTACGTAGATTGCATCACAATAAATCTGAAAGATGTTCCACAATGCTAGGCCGTGAATATGATCTGAATTTATTTTTTTTCGGAATTCAGAAAAAATACAGTCTGTCTTCTGTCTCGCTAGCTAATATGCTGTCCATCTCATCAAAGCTGACTTTTGCAAATGGATTGATAATAGAAGCCAGTATTGTACTTTTTATTACGTTTACTGTATTTTTTGGTGTTAGCTGGCATGTTCCTCTTATTTATAATTCTGCACTCACGGACTTTATTCTTTTCCAGAGCAATCATGACTCATGCCTCAGTTCCAAAGGAAGACCGAGAAGTCCTCGGAATATCAGATACTTTAATTCGCTTATCTGTTGGATTGGAAGACTCAGAAGATTTACTAGAAGATTTGGACCAAGCTCTGAAAGCAGCAGTAAGTCACTTCATACTGTATTCACCACATAATGCACAAAGGAGTTATTAACTCCTTATAATTGTTTTATATTTTCAGGAAAAATAGTATTTTTAAAAAATAATTGTGATATACCTTTGGCCAAATAACTTGAAAAAAAAAATAGCACATTTATTTCATCAGGGTGTACAGCTGCTTTAATTTGCACGTAAACACCTAATTTCACTTTCTTTCTAATCACTTTTACTGATTAAAATTTACTGTTTATTTGGGTATTGTTTAATTTAATTTTTAATTTTAATTTAATTTTTCTTCCCAATACCATATATAGCTACTAGCCATTACAGATAGTCCTCAAATTATAAATGTAATGGAGCCTGCCCATTCCATTTGTGACCCGAGGATTTGTGGGACTGAATTTCGTACCTTGAACAGGATCACTCCCTTTCACCCATGCATTCGCTAATCGAATGTGAGGCTCGTTAAGTACACACAAGGTATTTCATGATGGGGAACGCCATGGGGGTCCTAGTGATGGAACAGGCCACCTGTCTAAGATCACCCAAGGCCTCCCCGACCCACTGAAATACCTCATGCTCCCCACAATTGCTTCCTCCTCCCAAGCTGCTGCACTAGGTCACTTACCTTGTGAAGTTCTAGCAAGCAGTCTCCTCTCCAGCCTCTCAGCCACGTGCGCCCCTCTGATGCTCCGTTCGGACCTCCAAATGCCTCGCCCAGTACATTGCTGGCTGAAATGGAGCTTCCACCTCTCAGAAGTTCCATTTTGGCAGGCAACATGCCAGATGAATGTTGCAGAGCTTCTGCAGCTGTTTGTAAGGGCGAACAACTGCCGTGGTGCCGCAAGATTTGTAGTTTCGGGACTTGTTCGTAAACACTAGGGGGCACTTATTGCGTAACTTCAAACGTTCGCTAAGGGAACACTCGTAACCCGGGGATTACCTGTATATCTATGTAATTATTTGCAGTATTAATGATAATACTAATGGCTAAAAAAATGTAATTGCTTGTGGGATTCCCAAAGACTTCTCCTTCTTTGAGAATACTATACAGAATAAAATACTGAATTTGAGAATGATTTTATTTAATCCACCATGACAGTTATCATGTTGGCAACATTATTACAGGTAGTCCTCGACTTATAGCAGTTCATTTAGTGACTGTCCAAGGTTACAATGTCACTGAAAAAAGTGACTTATGACCATTTTTCACGCTTATAACCATTGCAGTGTCCTTATGGCCACCTGATCAAAATTCAGACACTTGGTAACTAACTCATATTTATTACAGTTGCTGTGTCGTGGGGTCATGTAAATCACCTTTTGTAACCTTCTGATAAGCAATGTCAATGGAGAAGCCAGATTCACTTAACAACGTTATTTACTTAATAACGGTAATGATTCACTTAATGACTGTGGCAAGAAATGTCATAAAATGGAGCACAGTTCACTTAACAAATGTTTCACTGACCAACCAAACTTTTGGGCTCAGTTGTGGTCATAAGTCGAGGACTGCCTATACTTGTTTCGCCAGTAGACAAGATTGTCCTTGTGAAAACTATAATGAGGAAAAATAAAGCAAGGAATCAAGTTTGCTTGTATGTGGGCTGAAGACAGGGCAGAGTAGCTTATATTTTTTCCAGCCTATAGAAAGGGTTGCTGTCCAATTATTGTGGAAGAGGATATATCTGAGGAGAGCAAGAAATATAGATAGTCCTCAGATTACAACCATTCATTTAGCAACTGTTCGAAGTCACCAAGTAACTGAACAATGTGACATCACTGGTCCTTGCACTTATAACCCTCATAGAATTGCCATGGTCATGTAATCAGAATTCAGGTGCTTGGCAACTGGCATATATTTATGCCAATTCCAGTGTCCTGAGGTCCTAGTATCGCTATTTGAGACCTTTCCAAATAGCTTTTGACAAGCAAACTCCAGGAGAAACCATGAGTTGAGGATTATTTGAAGTATTGTAATCATCTAGAGGAGGACTATAGTGGGAAGAACATTTGTGTTACTTAAAAAAATCAAGAGGCCCAAATAATAGCATGATATGCATCATATAGATTTCTGGGGGCATCATGCTAAAATCTAAAGTTGGAATAAATATTTAAAAATAATAATAAACATTCTTTTTACTTGAAAAGCAATGATCATCCGCCTAGTGCATGGAGTGATTAAGGTGTTGACTACAAATGGGGAGACCCAGGTTAAAGTTCTCATGGAACTAGTTAGGTGACCTTTGGCTAGTAACGCCCTCTTAGCCCTAATCTATGTCAGGGTCTTCAGCAGGAGTGGGTTTCTACCGGTTCTGTCCACATCTGTAGAACCGGTAGCTCTGAAGAGCAGCAGACATAGAACCGGTTCCTGATTTTTTTCAACTTCAGCTGCTGTGGGAGGCACAGCTGCAGTTAAAAAAGCAGGAAAAAAGGGCTTTTTGAAAGGCTGCTTCTCTACACGCAGCATGCTGGTGACAATTTACAGGCGCACTTGCTCCAGCAGCCTGCAGGGAAGCACATCGTAAATCACCGAACCTCAGTAAGTGACCAAACTGGTAGTTAACCCTGTTGGATCCCACCCCTGGTCTTCAGCAAGCAAGCTGAGAAATAAACAACTCCTCCTCCCATTATTACATAATGCATAGATAGCTTTTCTGTGTAAACTGCGCATACACACTACAAAACATGTGGAATGGATCCTGTGTCCAAGCAGAACAAATATTAAAAACAAGAACCTGCAAACCAGCCAGAATTACTTTGATGTTTATAATTGCTTGCAAAGATTGTTCGACTTCATTATTCTATTAGAGTATAGTTCTTTAATGTGGTGAAACAAAGCAACTTGCCTATGAAGGACTAAATGTTTCTGTGTTCCAAATGTCCCTCTTGACAATTGAAAAACACGGAACTGATGCAATTTCACTCGTTTTCTCTTTCAACAGATTCCTGATTATAGAATCCGTAACTAGGATTCTAAACTTAAACTTAAAGTTGCAATTGATTAATTTGCAAAATAACGGAAGGAAGGAAGATTACCTAGCTGCTCAGTCCTTCATGAATTTCCACTGGATTTGATTTATGGAAAACGGAGAAAACATTATGGGTACATGTTGATATTCTCAGCTCACTGACTGCAAAGACTTTCAAATGAACTGTGTCTTAATCATTTGCTTCTTTTAATTTTAAGAATCAAAATATCCACTTTTACTACAGTAGTAGATTTCAGATTACCATGATTCACAGTCAGGATTATGTGCTTGCAATTGCTTGATAATATCTTATATTTATTCAGCAGATGCTGATGTAACTTGGGGCTGAACTAAGCTGTAAATCAGGGCTACAGCTTAATAATGCACATGAAGACCGTTAAAGATTAGAAAATGCATAAATATTATGTAACAGCTTTCAAACTAGTGCTATGTCAGTCATCAGGTTCCCCGTTCACTATTTACTCATGATGGTTATAGACTAATGAAGAAATGAATGGAAGCAAACTTAAGTTCTGAAAATGTGAGTCTGATAAAAGCTTAATGACCAGATCTGTTTTTTGTCTTTACTGTGCAATACTGAAAAATGAAGCAAAGTTAATTACACAATGCCACATGTGTTACTTTTTTTAAAGTATTGAATTTGATTTGATGTCTCTTTTGATTTAGCATATTTAATTATATGTTTGATTATATTTCTTGTCTTGAAGGTCTGAAATTCTTGGTGTTAATTATTTGAGATTAAGTACTGTTACCATAAGCAATACTACTAATATATTGATTTTAGGTCCAATTTACTTGAAGAATTGTTTAGAAAAAAGGTGTGGAAATCTAACGATTACAGCTGCAGAATATTTTTCTATGTGCTTGGCCTTGTTGTGTTAGTTCCCTTATACTTAGTCCTTCAAGAAATCTTGTGATAAGGTATTGAGAAATTAGATATTAAAATATGGAATTAAACCAGCAATTGGGACTTATCCAGAATAATTTTGAATCTCCTTGTGTTTATTGAATTGCACTCTCTCTTGTCAACAATCTCTGCAAGATTCTGATTATTCATTCATACATACATACATACAGATGTAGAGACATTTTCAAATTAATTCAATTAAAGGAACAATTTTACAAATACTGTGATTAGGGGATCAGTGATATTGAAAATTCTGCTCATAACTCAACTAAGGAAAAATGCTACAAGCTCCCAACCCATCATGGATTCCATATAGGGAAAACGTACCGATTCATTGGAGTAATTTTACATGACAAAAAAGGTTATACATAAGTGGTTCTTTGTATGATCATGGCCAATATTTGCTACTACATCTTTAACAAACTTGAGAATCATTTCAATTACAATGGAATTCTGGAAAAAAAATCTTTATGATATCCAGAATGAATCATTTGATCATTCCTATTTTGTGAATATATATGTATGTTCATAACAAGGAGGAAATTTTAGCATGTCACAACATGGTAAAAATTAATTCTAGGTTCAAATTGGAGCCAAAGAAATATAAAGCAACTAGAATTTAGGATTTCATTATTAAAACCAATATGGTTTCTCCTGTCTGTAACTATCACCAAATGTCTTTATCTATTCTGATATTTTCTGAAAGGAAACAGTAATCTGGATGATATTAGATAAATTCATAAATAATATTTGCTGTCATGGTGGGTCAATATTTTGGAATCTAAAAACATTGACGCACAATGTCTATGGAGATTCTCAGTCATCCAGGTGATGGTTGTCCCAAAGGTGCTTTTTTTTCAAGAGGCAACTGGACTTTCTGGTTTTTCTTTGAAAATGTTTTGCTTCTCATCTAAGAAGCTTCTTCAGCTCTGACTGGATGGTGGGGAATGAAAGGATTTATACTTCTTGCAGACAGCTGGTCATTTGAAAGAGGGGTTAATGAGGCCATTTATGTCAAAATTGAACAGTCCTCTCAACAGAGGGGGAGGGATACAACATTGATCTCCAATCTCCAACACAGTCCTTTCAACAGTTCCAAGAAGGCTCCACACCAGTTTGCACCACTCAGATGACCCTCATGATACAAATAAACCTCCAGGTGATCTTAACAACCCGCTAAAAGAATGCAAATGACCAGCTGTCTGCAAGGAGTATAAATACTTCCATTTTCCTCTATCCAGTCAGAGCTGAAGAAGCTTCTTGGATTAGAAGTGAAATGTCTTCAAAGAAAAACCAGAAAGTCCAGTTGCCTCTTGAAAAAAAGCTCCTTTGGGATTAACTCACACTGTTTTCCTAAGTGTTATTTTCCTACAATAATCATGGGTATATGTAATTCTGTTTTAGAATGAAGTTTGACAACAAGTTGCTTGTTTTATTTGAAAATTGTTTATTCAGATGGGTTTCTGAATATTTTTTTTGTTCAATTAACTTGTCTTCTTCAGGCAACTTAGAACCACCCGTGATTTCCTAAGCCTCTTTTTCCTCCTCTCAGAAAAGAGAATAATTTCACAATGATTTTTAATGTAGACAGATGAGACTGATGCATCAAGTCACCTGTTCCTGAGGTCTGTTTCTTTGTTGAGCTTATATCTTGACTCTTCTTTAGGAAAATTTGTTTAGGTTATTATAATTCCAAGTTAAAATCGGTGTATTATTGTAACATACAAAAATACCAATGAATGCTTGCTTCCTTGAATCATGCCTTTTCCAAAACCTGCAACAGCTGTCCAGATGGCCATTTTGCTTCCAGCCAGAATTGGGAGGGTTGTGATAAAGGTTAAAACTATAAATGCTTACAAAACAGGTAAGGAGGCATGAAAAAAGATGGTTCCTAAAATATTCTGGTTTAAGATCAGAGCAGGACTGTTTATGTAAGGTGGGACCAGAAATGGGACATTGTGACTGCATGTTTTGCATGAAACTGGGGGGGTGGAGCATGCAGGTATCATCCCTACAGCTCAATATTGACATAGTTTGTGGTTGCTGAGTTTTCATTCAAGTCTTTGCTTGCCTTTGTTATCGTTTGCAGACTCTTCACAATGGACCTACATAATAGGGGGGAAAAAACCCAGATCTTTATCCTTATCTGAACAAAAATTCCTTTTAATCTCCTTTTTCATCAGGTTGTAGTAGCTTTGGGAATGGGGAAACAGACTCAATCTTTAAAAAACGTCAGATACCCAAGTGGGCAGTCTGACAGTGAGAAAAATCTTAGTAAAGAGCTAGACCAAAAAGTTATTTTGCTCTAGCAAACTAGTAGCCATTTCCAGAGACTGAAGAAATATGTAGTCAGCTCACTGTCCATCTTTTCTTGCTGTATGAGAAAAGGAGAATTTTCCTATTACTGATAGAAGCTGCGCAGATTGGTCTGTGTGCTGCATTTCATTTTTTTAGGCCATGTATCGCTTCTGCATGACTAACATATGTTATGATATTCAACCCCCCCCCCACACACACACACAATCCATTTCATTCTAGGCTGCCCCTCTTCATTCTCTTGCAACAGACATACTGAGCTGGAATTAAATTAACAAGAGAGTTTGCCATTTTCTCCTTTTAGCCATGGGACTTCAATAACACTGAACAAAGGGTGTCTCCATATCCAAACTACCAGTGGACTGATGAAATGCTGTGTTTGCACAGCGTTTTTTTATCTGGCTAATGAATTAGCCTATTTAGCAATTCATTTCATTAAAGAATGTAGCCAGATTGAGTTCTTATAGAGTTCTATAGACTAAGCTATCAAAACAAAACCAAAGCAACAGTTTTAATTAGCCAAGTAGCAAGCTCCTTTACTAAGCTGGTTAAAACATAAATAGTATTGCTTGTATTTTAGGGGTGTGTGTATTTGTATGTTTCTATATGAAATAAGATACTTGAAGGATGTTGATTGACTTTTGAGTGTCACAAAGACAAAAGCCATGTATATTGCTCTGGATGTTGATTCATTCCAATTTCTGAAGAAACCAGGGTTTTCAACTCCAACATTTAAGTAGAGAAGAAAGGGAAACAGAATTACCTCTTTTTTCTTCCCAATGTTTCTCTTTATATTTTTCTAGAACAGACTGCCTTGGGGTAGATGGACAAAGAAGGAAGATAGCAGATTTCTAAAGAAATAGTAATTCTTGACTCTTGGTGGCTTCTTGGACATGCCCCTGCAGGTTTCTTGGCAAGAATTTCAGAAATGGTTTGCTATTGCCCTCTTCTTCAGGCTGAGAGAGAGAGAGAGAGACTGGCCCAAAGTCTCTCAACTGGCTGTGTCAATAGGGCAGGCCCAGAAATCACAGACTCTCACTTTCTAGCCTAGTGTCTTCAATCACTACATGAAACTCTCTTGAAAGAAACACCCAAGTTAAAATATTGAGGACAATCCTATCTTTTAAAGTTATACACACACACACACACACACACACACACACACATCTTTCCAATAACCAAAAAGAGAACTCAAGTGGGTATCTCTGGGTTTAAATAAGCAAGAAAGGTGTGAAATGAAAAGCGAAATATAAAGTGTATTTTCTTCATTCAAACTTTAAAAGACATATATATTATGTCAAGAAGTAAACATTTCTTCCAGAGATTTAAACTTGAAAAAGCCTACCCAAATCCGAACGAAATAATTCTAGTAGGATTTCCCCTCCTTCTTTTGATGGCCTGTTATGTAACTCTAGTTTCATTTGCTTTAATAGTTGGCACATTTAAATTAAAGAGACATGGTTTTTTTAAATCCCTTTTGTAAATCTTCCACTAGTTTTCAAAAGCACTATATAGTCAAACCTGCCAAATTCAGGTGGTCTTTATGAAAGCCCTCTTTATAGTATTCAGTTTCTCTGTTGCAGAGTTGGAGTATCTGGATCTCTGGGGCAATGATGTTCTATAGCAAGGGTGTCAAACTCAAGGCCCGCAGGCTGGATGTGGTTGGATCCGGCCCATGGGGCGGTCTCTGTCTACCCGTATCGCCTCGGCCCAGTCTACCCAATGCAGAGAGGAAAGATCAGGCCAGTGAAGCTTCAGCTCAGTCTACCTGGTACAAAGAGGAAAACCAGCAAAGCTTTGGACTGGTCTACCCAATGCAAAGAGGAAAGATCAGGCCAATGTAGCTTCGGCCCAGTCTACCGAATTAGGCCAGTGTGGCTTCGGCCTGGTCTACTCAATGCAAAGAGGAAACATGCCAGCAGTTTGGGGAATGGCGTCAAACTGGCTACGCCCACTTAATCAGCCACACCTACCCAGTCAGCTACAGCCCCTGGCTCCCGAGGTCAACCACAGCCCTGATGCAGCCCTCAATGAAATTGAGTTTGACACCCCTATTCTATAGGTCAGATACCTTCTCTGTTGCAGTCCCTGCCCTATGGAACAGATCTCCCCAGAGCTCCAGAGGACCCTAATGGTGATTGCCTTTTGCAAGGTATTAAAGACCTGGCTATTCTCCCAGAGTTTCGAGGTGGAAAGTTAAATTAGACCCATTGGTTGATACATTTAGTTCCAGTTTTAGATTCTAAGTAGAATTGTTTTAGAAGTCATGCATATGTTACATTATTTACCTTGGACTTTTATTTACATTGTCTTGCCATTGTTAATTTTAAGTTTCTGCTTCATAGCCAGCATCACTCTTATGAGATAGGTATTATGTAAATTGTATAAATACATATATGTGTATGTGTGTATTCATAGACGTATATATGTATGTATGTTTTTTATTATATATGGCATATAGTAGATTTTTACAATTCTATCACACAGTCCTTTTTCCTTCCGTTTTAGTGGCATATCTATTTGCACTGGTTTGTTGTTGTTTTTTGCTTCTGTCTAGATACATGAAACAATCTAAATTTTATGGACAGTTGTCCCAAATGTGCAAATAAATTTGATTTTGTTGATTTACTTGAAATGCTTTCTTCAACAAAACGTGACTTAATTTCCATCTTTCATTTTAATCAGTCTAGCTTTCCATTAATTCCTTTCTTTGGAATCTGCCTTTTGGAGTCATTAGAAAATTAATGGCTACACTTCTTTTTGGACAGCTCTTTTTAATATGTCAAACAATAAAAGTTTTTCTACCTTTCTCTGTGTCTGCTTTCTGAGATGAAATGTCTGCAGGGAATCTCAAGCTTATATTTGTTTTTATTTGAAGAAAACTGATAATTTCCACATAATCTAAAGACAGACAGTGAAGAAGAAAATCTATTTTATTAACCTCAGGCGTTTTTATGTCTTAGTCCTTTCCTGCTATCGAAAAAAAACAGCCCTGGATTAACCCTTAAACAAAATAAGCATGTGCATTAGTGTACCAAGAGAAACAAGTTACAAGTTCATTATTATAAGTTTATTATAAAATGCATTGAAAACTGTTGAAAATTAGCATATTTCCATTGCCATAGTTATAAGTAAAAATTTGCTTATATTGCTTATTTCTAGTTAATGATATAAATAAAAATTTAAAAAAATTACATTTAATACAGTTCTGGGGACTGGCTTGGATGATTGCCTGAAAGAAAATTGAATTTTTAATCTTTATTTAATATTTTATTTCACCTTTAGCATTTATTGAGTCTTAATATTTTATCAGTGAAGCAAAGGAAGGTTTGGGGGGCATCCATTTTAAATTGTGCTGAGAGCATCTATTGGCCTTACTCCAGTCCTAAAGGAAAAAGTAGGTAACATTTTTACCTTGCATTTTGTTAGGGAATTGCGTAGCAGCTGTCCAAATGAAGTGGGAGACACCTACACAAACTCGTCTTTTAAATACTTTGTATATTTAACATTTAAATTTATAGCAGTATTTATCATCATCCAGAAAGAAAGAAAAACATAAGATAGTCAGGAACACAGGAACAAGGGAGATAAATTAAACAGTATATAGAACACAGAGAAGAAAAAGGGGGAAAAAAGGGAAACTCCCACTTTATACTTACAGCAACCAATCATAGCGTAGATTGCATTATGCATGAGTCAGCACCCTAACTAATCAACTACAACTGTATGTTCTGGCCTATTGTACACTTTACTGTTCCAGCTACTAAATTCAATATCTTAACGCATTTTAAGTCCCTTGTAATGTAATGGCAACATCAAATAAACTTGTGAAATTATATTGCTCTTCTACATTCTTGTAGAAGAGCAATATAATATTTCTATATTTATAATATAACATTATAATATATTTCCATATTTCTTTTGAAGTTTGTTGCTTTCTATATTATTATCTTAGATTCTATATATTGCTTTATGTTCTACATATGAATAAGTAAAAATATAGTTAGAGCTGTCCTGATGGATTTTCTACTTGCAGAATGTCATTCTCCTTCCTTTCTTTTACCTCTGTTCTAGGACAAATGACAGCTCAATGTTATTCAGCACTGCAACATCTTCATTGCAACCCTTGAAAATACCATCACTCCCTTTAGTTTTTATTGATCTGCTGTTGCATTGAGTCAGTCTGTTGCACTGCCTGCCTTTAGAGAACATCTCCACATAAATCCTGATGACTTTGATCCTTGCCTTTTCTCCCAGGTTGATAAAGAGCAGGAAATTGATACATTGCGTGTCAATCTTTCAAGAGAGAGACAGAGACAGAAATAAGGGTTCAGCCTCCCCCCACTAATGTGACAAGTGTTTGTTGAGAAACGTCCCCAAACAACTGCAGATAGACTAAGGAAGCATCTGATGGTGTCAGTCTTTTAATTTCTATTTACCAGGAAAAGGAGGCTACATTGTAAGAATGGTCTGGAAAAGAATAAAAGGAATATGTGCTAATTAATATGCATGTATGACTCTGGAAAAAAAACATCTGGGACTGGCTCATTCTTTGATGATATAAAACATCCCATCTATTTCTCTGTAGACTTGTTTTACCTTAATCTTTTCTCAGTGGGAAGAAAGACAATATCATTAATGTGAACTGGCTTTCGAAAATATTCAGAATCATTTGGCATGGGGTAAGATGAGTCATTGCTTTTGAACAATAAAAGTTGTAATCACAATTGAATTGCTTAGTGAAGCATAGAAAAGCTTTCCCCTTGGCTCATACACCATAATTTATTTGTTATTTAGTTAATATCATATTTGGAGGGCTATTACATAGCGGAGTAGCACAGAATTATGTTACCAAATAAATTCTGAGAATACTAATTAGATAAATCTGATTTCCTAGCATATTATTTTTAAATTCGTGCGATAATGGGTAGCACTTTAATTGCTGCTTCAATATTTTCATGACAACACCAAGTACTCTTCAAATTTGGAATGTGTATGTATTACGGTAGGTGCATACATTCATACATACAATAACATTCCTATATTAAATGTTATTACTTCACTCATAGTATTATGATTTTACTGATGACATCAGGCACTACTGAGTCAGATCTGTTATAGTTTAGCATTTTTTATTAGAGACTACTATAGTCCTTGACTTACAACCATTCATCCAGTAACCATTTGAAGTTGCAATGGCACTGAAAAAAGTGACTTATGACCAGTGTTCACACTTACGACCATTGCACCATCCCCATGTCATGTGATCAAAATTTGGGTGCTTGGCAACTGGGATATACTTATGACAGCTGCACTGTCATAGGGTCATATGATCATATAACCATATAACCTTCCCATCTGGCTTCCGACAAAGTTAATGGGGGAAGCCAAATTCACTTAATGATGGCATGATTTACTTAACAACAGCCTTGCTTAGCAACAGACATTTGGCATAAGTTGTGAACTACCTAGACATCAATTTTTTTAAATTTCTAATTGCTCTGTCTTATATCAGCAATATTTCAGCAAAAACAAAAACAAAAGTAAATATAACTAATCCCTAAAGTTTATTGTCAACAGCGGCAGGTCACTCAAAAAATAAAAATGTGCTGTGAGATCTTTTCAACACCTTCCACAAGTGGGATTTAAACTCATGTGTTATTTTTCATCACTGTCTTTGCCCCCTCCTGCTATTAGCTGGATCAAATGTTGCTTACTACGATCTGTTTATGTAAAACACATTCTTACTTATTGGAATTCCTCCTCCCTCTCTTCTGAATTTGTTATGTGCAATGCAATAAATGTTATGTGTAATGCAATAATCATAGATACTATAGAAGATGTCAAGAGTTTTTTTTCTTCTTCTCTTGGGCACCAGCCATGCCAGCTAGGACTTCCAGGAGTTTCAGTTTTTACACACTAAAGGGCATCCAGATGGTGAGGTCTAGTCTAGACATGATCCTATTTATATCTACTGGGCTTCTAAATGTTCTCTCAGAGAATGTGCTGTGCAGATTCTTTCTTGCAGTCTGTTCACAATCTGTGCATACGAAAGTCACTCTAGGTTGCACCACTTCAATATTCCAATCCAAGACATGTTCATAGTACTTTCCATGCACTGCTAATATAGAGATATTACTGGTGAGCATAATTCTGACAGCTGGGAGTTACCAGATTTGTAGAAATTCCAGGGAAACTCTTAATGCTAGTCCCCTATCATCTTAAAAATTAAGAATTTTATTGCAGTGATCTTCTGATTATGTGACACAAACAGGAAACCCGCTGCTTATCTCAGGACATGGATTATTCTATGAAACATAACTTCTCAGTCATAATGAAAGAAGTAATACTTGGTGAGGTTCTATTTGCCTGCTAATCGATTTGAAGGAAGCCAATGCTTGTAGTTATTGCCCAGCTAGACCTGAATGAAGGACTTCTAAAATACCAGGCATTTTATATTTTACAGAAGGATGCACAGCACTATAAAAGCAATACTGTATTCCCACCGATACCAATTGTGTAACTCTGCCTGATGCAAGCAGTTCATATACTTTTGTGACTTTTTCAACCAAAAGGAAAGAAGAAGAAAAAATAAGACATACATTAAGGCTACAAACCAGTGGTGGGATTCAGTTTTTTTTTACTACCGGTTCTGTGGGCATGGCTTATTTGGTGGGTGTAGCTTGGTGGTCATGTGACTGGATGGGCGTGGCTTGGTCATCATGTGACTGGGTGGGTGTGGCTTGGTGGTCATGTGACTGGGTGGGCATGCTGAGTGGTCATGTGATTAGGTGGGCATGGCCAACTTGATGTCACTCACTTCAAGGGTGCCTTGCCTGTCCTCACCTTGCCTCAAAGAGATACAATTTCCCTCTCTATTTACTACTACTGAACATCCAAAATATTTATTTTTAATAAATATTTATTTTTAATTTAATACTATTTATATATGTATATATGCCATATGTGTACATACATATTACATAGTATAGTGTGTGTATAGGCACACAAAAAGGTACATGTACTATATATACTGTATGTGTATGTACACACACACACACACACAGCTCTTCTAAACTGTACACATTCAACCTCACTGCATTTGGAAAAACACACCCATAGTCCACTTTCTGCCACACATTTAACTATAACTTCTGTACATTAGAACAGCGGTCGCCAACTGGTGGGCCGTGGCCCACTGGTTGGCCTTGAGAAAATTTTGGTGGGCCACAGAGAAATCTCACCCCCAGAGCACCCCCACAAAGCAATTAATCCAGGCTGCACAGAAACACAAGGCTGCACCACCCACATGGCCCATGGGAACCCTCCCCACCCACTCACTCCTTACCCGGCAAACTTGTCTGCTAAGTTGCTATTTTTTCTTTTTCCGACCATCATTTGTTCTGCTGTGCTGGGATATTTAGATTAGCTAGGAAGCAGGAAATGGTTGGGTTTCTTGCTTTCTAGCTAGTCTTTAGATTTTCGGCTTGACCTCTCTTAGGACTGAAGGTTTGCTTGCAAGCAAATTCAGTGCAGACTCATGGCAAGCAAATTTGAGAGACTGAGCTGGCCGATGGCAGATAGATAGATCACTGAATGATTTTGTGATCAACTCAATCTGCCTGCTTTGCCTGATTTTGGGTAAAAGTTGCTCTTTTTTTATAAAAAATTCAATATTTATATAAATATTTATAATATTTACATACAAGCCATGCCCAGCCAGTCACATGACCATCAAGCCACACCCACAAATTAGGCCACACCCACATAATTGGTTAGTGGTCCCTGGGATCTAAAATTATGAGTTTGGTGGTCCCTGAGGTCCAAAAGGTTGGTGACTCCTGCATTAGAACATTGCACATGCCTTCACATTTACTTCCCTAGTCTGCACATGACCATTAGACGCAGGAGCTGTCATGGATGGAGTAAAATGTGGTGAAACTCACTTAACAACGCTCTTGCTTAGCAACCAAAATTTTGGGCTCAATTGTGGTCATAAGTGAAGGATTATCTCTGCTTTCCTCTGCATGGCAGCCTTGTCCTCTGCCAATTTTCCCCTCTGTTAGAGGCACCAAAATAATCCAGATTCCAGATAATATAAGGTCTCTTGTTGAAGCAGGGGGTTGGACTAGATGGCCTCCAAGATTCCTTCTAAATCTGCTATTCTATGATTCTATAAGGATCTCCTGCTGGAGCACGGGGTTGGACTAGATACAGGGGTCTTCAAACTTGACAGCTTTAAGACTTGTGGACTTCAACTCCCACAATTCTTCCTCCACTCCACTCCACTCCACTCAGGAATTCTGGGAGTTGAAGTCCACAAGTCTTAAACTTGCCAAGTTTGAAGACCCTTGGACTAGAAAATGACTTCTGAGATCCCTTCCAGCCCTAGATTGCTGTGCTGTTTCAAAGAGTCTTCTGAAGCCAGGGTTTGTGTCCTTCCTTCCTCTCCTTTTTTCTCTCTCCCTCCCTCTCTCCTTCCATGTATCTATCTATCCATCCATTCATCCATATGTCTCATTCACTTTCTCCTCCGTCTCTTTTTCTCTCTCCCTTCCTTCCATCCTGTCTTTCTTTGTCTATCCCTTTTCTTCCTTTGTCTTTTTCTTTCTTTCCCTTTTTTCTTTCTTTTCTTTCTTCTCTCTTTCCCTCTCTTTCCCTCTCTCCCTCTCTTTCTCTCTTTCTCTTTCTCTCTTTCTTTCTCTCTCTCTCTTTCTCTCTCCCTCCCTCTCTTTTTCCCTCTCTTTCTATCCCTTCCCTTCTTCATTCCCTCTCTCCTTCTAAAGATAGGAGAGGAGACCCACCAGAAACACACAGGCTTCCAAGCGCCCACCTGAAACAAACAAACATA